AGTTATAGCATGAAAACTATAACAAGCACAAAATGGTTATGAGGTCGGTCCCAGGGATCAAGCCCATGCTGAAAGAGTGAACACTTATAGCAGTCTTTGTCTTCATAAGATTTAACCCTTTTAGTAATGATTCCTACTTAATCATGCCTCAATAGAAAAACTTGCCTGTCTGATCAGCTAACTGATCAGTTTTTTTTGTAGCATTGCTCATTGTCAGAATAGAACAAATTCTTATTACTATTTTCTATGTTTGATTTTCATTGATATTCAACTGATAAAATGAACAACATACAAATTTAAAAGAAAAAAATGTGCAAAGAAAGCACCATGTATAGCAATATATACAAAATGATACATTTGGAATGGATACAAGAATTTGTTTCATGAAATTCTTGAACTGATTTATCAGTTTAGTGAAACCTAGTGTTGAAAGTTACTGAGGGCAGATCAAGTCTGATTTTATTTACAGATGAGAGTTATTCATGTTATGACTGTATTTGTTTTTGCTGTTTTTAATGGAAAAGTACATTTTGTAAAACAATAACAACTAATTTTTAACCTTTAGATCACTTTCAACAAAAAAGATAATTATATTTTTTACTCCTTTTAAAACTTTTGTTACATATTCTTATAAGTTACATACCTTACAGTTTTATTTCTGTTGATATTTTTTACAATTTCAAATACTGTAGACAATGCATAAAATCTACATTTAAATGAAAAATATCTTATTAATATGGTTTTTATGTAACACTAGCTGGAATAATGGTCAGTTCAAATGTTTTGTTATATAATGAAAACTCTTTATAGTAACTAAAAGATATGAACACTTAAATTAAAAAAACATTGTTTAATATAGTTGCTGTGGTCAAGTTAATCTGTAACATAGACCTACACTGTAGTATTACTTGTTGGAATAACCTGCACAAAACATCAACATGCATGTTTTACACAAAGTTGAGAGAAATGTTACCATTGTATCAGCTGTGATCCTTCCATGTTAAACAGAAATACCTGATGACTTCAAATAAATAGCTGAAATATTATATATGATATAAATAATAATAGTTATAACTATTTTGTTCCATGTTTTTTTCAGAATTGAATCTTTTACATATAATCAATTTCGACTATATTATCCATGAATAATATTGAACACAGATACCTGAAGACTTCACATAATTAGCTGAAATGTTATGTATAGTTTTAAAAAAAAGTTATGTCTTTCTATACCCTAAATAAAATTGTAATTGCTTTGTTCCATTATTTTTTTCACTATTGAATGTTTTCAGTGTAAGGAATTTGATTACGCTTTTTGTGCTTAAAGTTCCAGCTGTGAAGATCATTAATTAAAATAATTTTTTATTATAAACTTTGAAGCAGCTTCAACTGTTTGATACTTGCAGGTTTTGAGGGTTTTTGAAGAAATTGAACAAAACATGACATTGTTAGGAGCTACGGCTGTGGAGGACAGGCTACAGGATGGAGTTTGTGACACATTAAGTGCTCTAAAAGAAGCTGGAATAAAGGTAGCATAACCTTGTAAAGTCAGAGAATGCTTGAAAAGTGTTTAATAAATTAAACTTTGTATTTGATTAAAAAAAAGTTTTGTTTTCTCAACTACAAAGGCCTGGCATGGCCTGGTGGTTAGGGTGCTTAACTCACAGTCTTTAGGCTGTGGGATCAAAACTATTTGCCATATATGCTCACTCTTTCAGCCATATGGACATTATAATATATTGGTCAATCCCAGTATTCATTAGTAAAGAATAGTTCAAGAGTTGGCAGTGGATGGTGTTGGCTTCCCTCTAGTCTATCACTCCAAAATTAGGGACAACTAGTGTAGATAACTCTTGTTTATCTTTGCATGAAACTTCTACAAACAAACTCTACTACACATAAAAGATTTAATTGTACTATTTTTTTAAAGAAGTATTAACACTAGTATGAGGTCTGTAGTAGTGTGACATTATTTGTGTAGTGCTGTTAACATTTGTTAAATGTTGTATTTAGTTGTTTGAAACACACAAGTTTCAATACATTTTATTTCATAGTCAAAATGTTGATTTTTTCAATAAAACTTTAAAAAAAGGAATTTTAAAAACATAGCTTAAAATGAAACAGAATTTGTAAATATAACAAAAACTTGCAAGTGTCATGTTACCCTTAAATATGGTTTAGGAAATGTGATTTTTCTTAAAGTAGTTTTGGGTTATATATTAAACATTTCTGAGGAAGGAACCATTTTATAATTAATACATATGTATTTGTTTTGAAAATGAAGGATTTGGTGGAATATAAAATTTTTAATTTGTATTATTCCATTGTTTGGTAGATATCTTGTCTGCTGTGTGATTGGAAATTCCAAAATTAGGGTGTTTTTGTATATATATATGTATATAAAAAAGTTACTCTTTAATCACCATTTAGAGTGGCTTGAATTTATTTTAGTTGAAAAATGCAGACCAATTGGGGCTTGTGCTCACAGTTTCAATTTTTTTTTTATCTGCCAAAATTAATTTGGTACCATTATTCTCTCTTCTACCCTATAGCAAACATGAGGTCTTGTCAAAAGACAGATATTTCTGTTAAAAACTGTAATAATTTGTTACTTCTGGTGGGTCGTATGATGGGTCGCTCACATTAAACATTTCTTTAAACTTTTACATGGGAACCAGGAGAGTCTGTGATACTGCAAACAATATAAAAAATTCTGGATGATGCACTCTTCTCAAAGAAAGTTGAAAACAAATAATCAAGATGAAACAAATAATAAACATGTTCAACAAGATAAAATCTGAAAATAAAATGAAGTGGTTCAAATTCCTAAAATACAAAAAGAATTTGTGGTCAATGCCTTGGTTAAGCGACTTTAACTTGAGCTTCAAGAAAAGTAAGATGATCTCTTAATATATAAAAATAGAAGACTACTTTCTGGTGAGAGAAGAACCAATGAAAAGATCCAAGAGTACAGAAGCACAACATAGGGGATAGAAGGAACTGTATTTATACTGTTGTTCTGAGCAAAGATCAAAGTATCGTAAAGTGTGTTGAGAAGCAACAAAACTTACATCAGGCTGTACTTTCAAAACTGGTCACAAAGCAGTCTGAAAGTAAAGCAAAATTGTTTAACAAGTTATACAGTATTTAATGGTAAAACAATCACTAGTAATATGAAATTTTTTTAAACATCATAGTTTAGGTGCACTAATAACCCAGAAACATCAAAACTACCCATGCTGTATAGATTCCCTGGTAGTTCTCTTCCAACTTTTTAGCCAATAACATCTAAAACCAGAAATTCCTGTGGAAGCACACCAATAACCAGAAGTAACTTAAAATTACACGCTTGATATTATTATTTATATAAAAAAGTTTCAATAAACAACTGAAAATAGAAAAGAGACTGACACTGAAAAGTATATTTTTTCTTATTTATTTGTTTTAATTTCATTTAGTTTTGTGTATGTTTAGTTTTGATTTGTTACCTTTTATAATAATATTTTTTTATTATTTTTATATTTCAACATTTGTATTTTTGGTGTGAGCTGTGGCTAAGGATCAACTTTTATGGAAGTTATTTTTTCTCATCACTTTTGTATTGTAACTTTTCTTAATTTTTAATCTGTATAAAACATTTTTGTGGATAAAGCTTGTTATTCAATACTTGAACTTTTTTCCATTTTTAGGTTTGGGTTTTAACTGGAGACAAAGAAGAAACAGCTATTAACATCAGCTATTTATCAGGCCACTTTCAGAAAGATATGGAGCTTCTGAAGCTTATATGTCAGAGGACCAGTAGCCAATGCCATAGGCAACTGAACAAAATTAAAATTCTGTTAGTCATTTTGTATTTTGGTTGTAAATGAAACTGATTTAATAAATACCTTTTCTGTAATCAGATAATGCTTTCATTAGTTATTTGTGATTACTTATATATGCTGTAACTTTTTATTATTATTATACAAGTATTACAGTTGCAGATATTATGAAGATAAGGTTTTAGTTTTTGGTGCCATTAGCGTATTGTGTTAAGATATATGTATATTTTAAAAACAAAGCAGTGTGTCATATAATAAAACTTCTATACTATGTGACAACTAAATCAGAATATGTAATGTTAAAACTTCAGAGTCCTTATGTCATTAGCAAAAAGTTTCTCCTTATTGAAAAAACATGTATTACAACATAAACAACTAGGTTAATTTCTTCTTATTGTAAGTTAAATCTGAACTATTCATAATTCAATAAAAATTTGTACAGTTTTTTTCCAGCTTGCTATGGTTGTAATGGATATATAGTTTTTTAAGTTTTTTTTATTTCTTGAAACTATAGTTGCTGTTTATTTTCAGGATGGAAAAAGAACCAATCAAAAGTTATGCTCTCGTTGTGGATGGTCTCACACTGACATTTCTTCTCAGTGAGCTTCGTGACGAATTTTACAAAGTTTGTTGCCAATGCACTGGTGTTCTGTGTTGTCGTATGTCTCCCATACAGAAAGCGGAGGTTTGGTTTCCAATATATTAATGTATATTGTGTGATTAGAGCTTTACAAAGGCAGAGAATAAATAATGACCACTTACTTGATCAAGCATATCAGGTTACTTAAATCTTTACATTCAGTAGTATATATTGATGTTTCAGTTATTTGTTTTACTAAACTTAAAGATAATTTAACAACATTTAAAGCACCTAAAAACTTGACTCTAATTACCTCAGAAAAACCCAAAGAAGATTTCTAGCTCATATTAGGGTTTCCCAAAATTTCTAGAGACATTAGGAAAAAACTTGATATTTAACCCTAGAATGCCAGCATTAAATATTCAATCATTAACACCAAGTGGTATAGGGTCATAGTGACCCAATATTGGCATTCTAGGGTTAAAAACGATTTTCTCAGTTATCCAGAATTACAATGTATATATATATATATATTGTAGTGCAACACATTAGAAGTTATAGTATGGAAACTTTAAAGGTCAATTTGGGGTCAAGATTTATTTCTAATCAATTGAGCCCATCACAAGAGAGTTAAAATTCAAAAGTGCAGTAAAATTTACTTAGGAAACATTTAAGTAATTTGTGATTAATAAAACTGTAATGTTTTCTATTTTGCTCAACCATGATGCTGAACATGTTAATGAGCTATTTCTTTGAACTTAGAATACTTTATTTATTGAATAGCTATTTAAGGTAAGTACAATTATCTAGGAAAAATTAAAAGAAGAAAGCTGTTGAAGGCAAAAGTTAGCATTATTTAATTGAAGATCTAAGACCATTTGTTTTAAAACTTGGGATTTTGTATTATTTGATCAGAAAAGGTTTTGTTGCAGGTTGTGAAGTTCATCAAGAATGGATCTGAGAAGGTGGTTACTGCTGCAATTGGGGATGGTGCAAATGATGTCAGCATGATTCAAGAAGCTCATGTTGGTTTGGGTAAATTTCTCTCAATTAATTTATAAAGTTGTAATTAAAAATAACTACCTTTTATATTCACATCTATATATATGTATGTGTGTGTGTGTGAGTGTTATGTATCAAATTTAATGTATATTTTATGGAATCCTTTTCATTTCAAAATGTTGTTAAGATGAGGAAGCGTAACACATAACAATATAATTAAAAATTGGAGAAGACATAGAAGTGTTGGGACATGTACATTAGGAGTTCAATTAAAGGGAAGTAGCAAACATAATGATGTAAAGATTGGTATACTTTCTCTTAGTTCCTATGTATTTTTAAGTAGAATTTTAATAGTTCTTAGAATGCTTTTGCTATTCTGTTTTATTGTAGTATAGATACAAAATGTTGAACCTACAGAAATCATTAAGGTTATGATCAAACGTTTTTCCCTAGTGTTATTTTTATAAGAAAAATAAGGCACTGTATTAAGTCATTATGCTGATAAGTTGGTTTCTTAGAGTTTCATATTTAGTAATAATAAAAAGGCTTTAGTTATACTTTAGTTTTTGGTTTACTGCAGGCATTATTGGTAAAGAAGGCCGCCAGGCAGTACGATGCAGTGACTTTGCTTTTGCTCGTTTCCGGTTCTTGCTACGTGTTCTACTTGTTCATGGTCATTACTACTACATTCGAATTTCCACATTGGTGCAGTACTTTTTTTACAAGGTAATCTTTGTTTTGCTTTTTTATATCATAGTAACCCAAAAGGTCAAAACAGAATTTTAGTAAATTGATGTTTTTAGGTGCAGAGTTATAACACAGATTTTGATAACAAAATGGATCTGTTGCCTTGGTTTGTGTTGCTTTTAAGAAAATTGTGGACTTTCTCAAAATCAGTTCTATTCCTTTTGCCTATCAGTTTATAAAATTTATATGAACTTCATTTAGTGCATAGTTGGTTATTATTTTATATACATTCAACCTGTAAACTATAATTTGTGATGTATGTAACAGTGTTTTGGAATTTTAAAAAATCGCATAAAAGTTATAGTGTTTTCAGTTATAAAATATCCAATTATGATGTATAATCTTAAAGCTTTTAATATTCTATTCTATATATTTATTTTTCTATGTTCTAGCCAACAATACATTAATCAGTTAACTTTAATGTACTTAAAAACTGTGATATAGAGATATTTATACAATTGTTACATGCTTATTTTGTGAAATTCAGAAATGGATACAATACTCTTAAACACTTGAACTTTAAGTCAAGTGGCATTACAAAAATAAGATGCATTAATTTTGATTATTGATTAGATGAGTAAAAGAAGTTATGAGGTGTTAATTGCATGTTAAACTTTTTATTATGTATCATTATTTTTTTACTGTTATTCAATTCTTAAAATATAATATTGGTTTCATCCAATATAACCCTATGTTAGCACCTACCTACATCAAACGTTTTTGTAATTACACTACTTAACAACAAAAAAATTTACTTTCAATCTCACAATTTTGATGTTTTTTGTTTTTCCTGCTGAATAAATTTTTCCAAAGTTCATTTCTAGAAACAAAACTGCTATTCAGTACAAATAATGAGATGGATAAAAAAGGGGACAAATGTAGAAATATAGGAGATGTCTGTGGGACATGTTGAAGAAAAGAGGAGTCTCATGTGAAATAAGTGAGAGTTAACATTTACACACTCATCTAATCTATAGTAAAACCCATTGTTCTCAATGGAGCACACACAAATAGAAATGATCATCAATGATGCAGCTCAGTACAAAATATTCTGTGATATAAAGTATTATTGTAGTCATCATAGGCTAGCCTTGCTAATACTACTTGTATGAAGTTTAAAAGCTAGGATCCTCTGCTGTTGTCAACTGTGATGTATTGGATTAGTAACTGAGAAGTCTATATTACTCTATTTTATTGGTGAGGTAATTTTTTTTATCACTAAATCATCAGTTAAAAAGTTTATGCTGGATAATTAAAGTCTCAGTTGAAATTTTTTTGTTGATTATGTTTTCATTATTCAATATATACTATTGTATACAATATTATTTTTCAGAATATAGCTTTTATCATACCTCAAGCATATTTTGCAAGTTATAGTGCCTTTTCTTCCCAGGTAATAGTATATTTTCTTTATAGGGTCTTATTAGTTCTAATTATTATGAGCAGTAATTCACCATTATTATGCTACCCACTTAAACACTAATGTCAGATATCAAACATACTGTTGGTGTGAACATGCTTTGTAGTCACTATGAGAATACAAAGCATGTTCACACCAACAGTATGTTTGATACTTTTCACTATGATATAAGTCCAGCTTATCTCTCTTTGGTTAACTTGTGTTCAGGGTTACTGATGATGAGTGGAATTCTCCAAATTTAGTGTAACCCAATAACACACGTTGATCAAAGTTTAGATCGAACTGAACCTCCCTTGAACTTAGACTTCTAAATTAAACAATTTTTTGGAATACTATATTTATTATAATGTCAGATATGTCTTAATTGCTTCATCCACAACCTCAAATCCTACTTTGTTTTTGATATGATCTAATATTTTTATCTTCTATGATACATTGTTCTTCATTCTGTAAAACTTGTAACTTATTACACATTATAATGCTCTGCTGTAATATAATTGGTCACAAGTTGGCTCTACTAATTTGTCTGAGATTCATAATTTTATATTTGACTTCTAAGTACAGGTAAATCATCTCATCGTTGTTTTGTTTTTTATAAAACAAGCTCCTTCATAATCTTATGCTTTTCTCTACTTTTTCATTTGTTAGTTCTGAGGTGACCATGTCAGTGTTCACTAAAGTACATTATCTGAAATCTGTTGAGACTGAAGTGTTTCAGTCTAGCAGTTCTTTCTGAGAGTACAGTTTGCCATGTAATAGAAAATATAAAAATTGATTTACATTCATTTTTTGTAAAAACAGTACATACATCTTTAGCTTTTATAGAGCTAGCATTTGTTGAAGGTTATGGCCCAACATTTTGTGCATTGTTTTCTAAAAATTGAATAAATAAAAACATTTTTTTTACTTTGGGAGTTTATATTAGTGCATGTTTTAGTTTGGGACTGATTCTCATTTGTGTGTCACTCTCCATATATTAGTCTTTTAAACTTTGGTTTACTTTTCAATATGTTTTTTCTTAAATAGACATTTACTTTCATGTAGTTGAATGAGTTTGTATATTTCTCTTAGAATTTTTTACTTTTTTGTTTGCTTTATTTTTTGGTTTCTCCATGTCCCGTGGTTATGTTTTTCTGAAATTAATCAGACTTTGATCCTAAAAACTTTGAATTCAAGTAATGGGATTACGATCTTTTATCATTCTTTATTAGTTTCCTCTCTGTATGCATTCAGTTTTTTTCCAACTTCTTAGTATTCACTACTGGTCTGAGAGAAGCCCATCTGTACAGTAATCATGTTGCTTTCTTTATGCATCTGGATTTACAAAACCTTGTCCCCTTATATCCATCTTTTTTAAGCTTGCTTCCATTTTTTTTTTGGCCATAGGTCTTTTCCATTATATTATTTAGTATAAATAAGACTTCTGTGTTTGATTTCTCTGTTTTAGCCTGAATTTTTTTTCATACTTTTTTTGTCTTGAGGAATGTTTTAAACTCATTAATAAAATATTTTTTTAAATCACAATCACTTGCACCATCCTACTTTAAACCAATCTCTTGATTTAGAAGGTTGAGGATGCCTGTTACGTATGGTTTATGTCTATTTGGGTATGACAAAGTTATGTGATAGTGATGCCAGGTGTAGTCTGCTGTTTCACTCCTCTCTCTTGTTTCTTGCCATCATATATCATGTTATATGTTCAAGTATCCTATAATCTCAAAATACTTTATCCATCTGATTAGAATGAAATTTTTCAGTATTATAAAACGTTTTTTTTAGCAAGTTCTCCTTTTTCTTTTTTTACCAAACTCATGTATGTATGAATAGCTGGTTACAGAGATATGGATTACATAATAATAGATTGCAATTTCAAAATTTTCACGTACTCCTGAACTTTATAATTTATTTTAATACTTTGTGTATAATTTAGTTCTTTGTTACATTCTCATTCTACAACAGTACCTTACTGTTTTAATGCTCTTTAACACTGTTAAGACAATTGTAATCTCTAATGCTACACATGTGTTGTTTATTTGTTTGTTTTTCCTTCTTTTTAATAACTTTGTATTTCGATGTGACAAAAAGCAGTTGCTTGAAACATTGTCACTTAACTAATAAAAAAAACTCTTTAATGATTTGTAACATGTTTATTTTTATTATAATTTCTTTTGGAGGACTGTTGTATTTAAAGCTTTATCATGTATACAAGTATAAATGTACTTTAAAGTTTGAAGATAAAGAGTATTTTAATCTAAAGGAACTGTGTATTGGTAAAACATTAGGTTATGCACATGAATAAAGGCAATTTTTAACAAAGACTATATCTGTTTGTTATCAGTAATAAGGGCTGTTTATCAACTAATTATTGGTGTTTTCTACAGCCAATTTACCATAGCTTTTATCTTATGTTCTACAACATCTTCTTCACCTCCCTCCCCATTCTTGTGTTTGGCTTGACAGAACAGCACCTTAGTCAAAAAACCTTGCTCGACAAACCTCACTTGTACAGGTTGGTTTATCAGCATATGCTTATTTAAACAGTATCTCATAGCATGACTTGTTTTACATTAAGATGGTAAATGTGATTTATTTTGCATATTGTGGCTAAATATTAATTTTGTGCGTGGCATGTTTTTGTTTTTTTATGTTTGCACAATTCCATTCATAGTAAGACTCTTCATGCAGACTTTTATCATTTGCATATAGAAATCGAATTTCAGTAAGCATCAAATAACATGCTTTGCTGTAGCTGCACATGTACAGGCTCCATGGAAATTATTTAACTAAAAAATTCTTTAATTTTTTTTTTGCATATAAAGTGTAGATTTGTTTAATGATTACTGTACTTGAAAGAAATCTAAGGGTAAGCCTAATAGATTAAGTTGGCTTCTGAGAGCTAGTTAATCTTTCTAGGGTGGTGAGTGCACAACTGCATATCAAATTAGAAAATTTAAATAAAAATCATACACCAATTCTATTTCAATAATATTGATGTGTTGTAATATTTACTTACTGTAATTCACAAAGAAATGTGAAAATGTGTTCAAATTTGCATTTCTGCACAGCTTTGAGGAGCTTCACCTATTAACAACACGCTTAATTGTTTTGTTTTATTTTTAGAATTTTTCTGCCCTTCCTAAAGTATAGGTTGGTATTGCTAACATAATTCTCAAGGATTTGTTTTTCATGTGATTTTCTTTCTCTGATTTTATTAGTACAGCCTCTTTTCCCACCCTTTTCTGATTTCACAGCATTTGATCAGAAGTACTAAAGTAGCTCATCTTTGAAAATAGCTGTAGGCATAGTTTGAATACCATTGGATAGAGCAAATTATAAACTATTTAGATCAGTGTAGAGTGAATAAAGTTGTTTAAGAAATAATTTAAGTTTTTTGTGGGAAAATGCTTAGGTGTAGTTCCTGCAGGGAAGAATAATGGAATGTAGTGGGAAGTTTAAAAGACTTGGGAACAGACCACAGATCTGGGAAGTTAGTTTTTATAGTATCTTTACAAATCTTTTTCTTTCCTTAAAATGTTTTAATTTTAAATTATATTTATTTGAAAGCTTGAAAATTTTCTTGCATGAAAAGATATCTGATAAACCTAATTATGATTAGGGATTATAGTAGGTGAAAACAAAATGTTCTGGACACTCAAATCTTTATTGATGTTAAGTGTATCCTATTCAAACAATACACATAAATTAAGTATCTTATAATTTATTGAAAAGATGTATATCTATTAAATATAAATTGATTTCAGTAAAAAATATTGCTAGCAAAAATATCATTACCTAATCTGACCTGATGTCATTTTGAATGGTCAGGTTCAAGAATACCAATAAATCATTATGACTTACAACCAGAAGTGGTGAATACTGCAACAGGTAGATTAAAGTATCAAAATAAATAATTTAATGAATATCAGTTAAGTTGAAAATTAAAAGAGAATAAGCCTTTTTTAGTTAGTGATTATGAATAATTCCTTTCATTTTTTATCAGGAAGTTCCATTCTATATATCCAAGTCACTCTGTTGAGAATGCTTTCATGCTCCTTTTTTGGTAATGCTCAACAATATACAGCGTAGCTTAGCAACAAAACTATCGCCTGATAGTTCTTAGGCCAACTGTGGTGTTTATGTTGAATGCTCAATATTCATGTTGATTTGTTAGAAAGGCATGTTTTTTATGTTTTATTTTTTTTTATAACTTTGGTTTAAATCAGAAGTTTTATAACATTGTGGTCTAGCCAAAAGCAAAATAAAATTTACCAAGTAGTGTTCAGCTAAGCCAAAAGCAAAATAAAATTTACCAAGTAGTGTTTCAGCTAAGCCTTACATTATGTATATGTATTAAATTATACTACAAATAGGCTTACTATTACTAACGTTATAGAGTCAGTATTGTAAAAAGTTTTAAGTGGTAAGTAAATGTTAATTAATGAATATTCTTGTGGTATTTTAAAACATAATATCTACTTGTTCTTGAATCATAAAGAAAAATAAATGTTTATTACTGCCAAATATCATTTATCCTTTGTACAGTTCAAAGAGTTGAATTTTTTTGTTGGAATGTCAGCGCTATGTTCTGACCTATAATACAGTGAAAAGGCTCAAGAGTGCTATTTAAGTCTCTTTCAGAGTGCACATGTACTGTTGTTCATGGTAACATTTAAATTTTCTACATAATTTTGCTGAAAATATTATGTTTAAGAATTAATTTGAGACTGATGAAATAAGTGAAGAGTAGGTGCATTTTGGAGGTACAGACAAATTCGTTTTAGTTAAATTTCATAATTTTTGTTAATCATTCAGTAATGGTTTCCCATAATTTTTGACAAGCTTTTATACTAGTGTTTTATAAAAATAGTGTCTCAAAGAATCAATTTTGAAATTGTACAACATGAAAAAGGATAGAAAAGGTCATTCTGATTATGAATTCTTTTATGCTAGAATTATATATTATTTAGTAAGTTTGTTCTAAGTTTCATACAACTTGTTTAAGTATCTCCACTGTGAGAAGGAAAAACAAAACAACGGATATCAGGGATACCCCCTTTGGTCTGGAAAAGGATTAACACATGCTTTAGGAAGGTAAATTGATTTGTAACTGGTAGTTAGTGCAACTTTCATCATTTATTTGTGAATGATGTGTTCAATTGTTAAACATAAATGAAAATAGTTTACAACAAAATTGTAAAGCATTAGAAGAGTTTCCTGATTTCACGAATAGTGTTTAAGTTGGTAGATCATTAATATAACAACAACAAAAATCTACAACCCTTACTGAAACCCACTGAGGTTTATCTGAATTTCTAACTGGGATGATTATTGGCTTCCAATTGACAGATTTCCACTATTTCTATTGTAAAATTGGCCATACACCCAGTCTGTTCAATTCCATTTTGAAAAATACTGGAGGTGTTGGGATGCTGGGCCATGACAAAATACTGGTACTAGTGGGTTCGATCCAAGATTGCCTTGTCTGCTTTGATGTTTATGCTAAACCAAATTCAATAAAGCTCCTTTTAACTGGCTGATTGAGAGACAGCTAACCAATCACAAGATATCTTTTGAGACTGAATGTACCTGACCCAGAAATGCATGGACTCCTTAAAGTTCATTGATGGATGTGTGTAAAGGAATGGCATAGAGATGGGCTTTAACAATTTCAGTATCTGCCTTAATAGCATACACATTTTGCCAATTTTTATAATTACATAAATTATTTGTGAAATTATTTAGATATAGCCTAAATTGTGAGAGATAAGTATGATCTGATTAAATTTGGGGGAGCAGGTATTTGACAAAGTTCTTGAAATTGTTTTCAATAATTAAGTGCATTTTGTTAGAAATGAAAACTTATTACTAGTGCAATAAATGTCTCAGTTTTTGAGATTATTTGCAGTGTCATAAATTATGTCATACACAAGGTGGGTAAATTGTATGAGTGATGAATTTCAGATATGCAAGAAATCAGTCAATACCTATGTTATTTTGCCTACATTTTTATTTTTTTGTAGAAAATAAATAAAGTATCCAAATGTTGAGCTTGTGACTTCTAACAGAGAAAGACCAGACTCTATTTGATGAACAAGATAAGAACTGTAAAAAAAAGTAGTAGTATAGGCTGAGGCTCATACATTAACATATGTGATAATAATCCATATCTGCCTTTTAAAACACTCAGTTAAATGATCAACAGTTTGCCCTCGAAGAATCTGATTTGTACAAGTATTGCCTTAGTATTTCATGAAATGATCAATTTGTACATAACTGAGCTAATCATTATAATTATAGCCACTTGTAAATAGTATCTGTCTAAATATTTCATGGAAGGACCAATTTGTATCTTAACTGTTGTATTATTTTTAATCATTGGAACATGAGTTAAATGTGGCAAAGTTCCAGTATTTACTGATCATTGTAGCAGTACGTCTTACTATAAAGGAGCAATGGCGTGGCTGTCTATATATCTATCTATGAATGTGACTCAAATAATAAATACAATAGTCCCATCTGTTGTGCTGAAATACAACAAGATCTCAATACAAGAAGTGGTGATTGAGGCTTATGAAATGTGGTGCCATTCAATAGATAAAAAATGTTCATATATTTGGTATTCAAGATTCAGACAATTAAAAAAATAACTACGGTATATGCAACAACCATTTCTTTATCACAGAACACAATTTTAAATAAATGTACTCTCCTCACAACAAGAACACAATGTTCACTAGGACTATATATGAAGTTTGATTATATCTTCATTGATGTAATTTTTAAATGTAGTACCAAAAAACTGGAGTTATTTTTACAATAAATGGCACCACTTTTAATATGTAGAAACAGTACAGTTTATATCAGTAATATTTTGAGATCTGTTCATTGAATCATTTGGATGCAATGAATTGTGTATGATTAAAGAGCACAATCTGAACACTTTTCCTGTGCAGTAGTTCACAGAAAAAAAATTATTATTTTTTTTTAGAAAATGTTCACTTTTTTACAGTTTTTTACAATAAGGTATGAATACTACAATTACTAATTACTAGCACAAACAGCTGCCTTTAGGGTGTTGTTTCTGCTAGTAATGTTAATAGTTAGAGCCTCAGAATAGCTTAGAATGCATCAGAGAACACATAGAACTACCCGGCTGGGACCAAGAACTAACCAAACATTTCAAAAGCTGTTCTCATCCCTGTTTTCATTTATTGTTAACATTTTTTACATTAGCCACTTTCTAGAGCTCCAAAGTATTTTTTAGACTGCTTTGGGCATTATTCTTCCAATCCAAACCATGGCAGAAATTTAGGTTTAAATTCTTTCAGGCCCCAAAGAAAGTTTGGGGTCTGAAAGACAACCCGGGATGGTCAGAAACTCCTGTTTCTCTTCATCCTGTGCAATGAAAAGGCCTAAGCCAAATGGATGTGGAAGAAGCCTCTGGGCTTAATTTTTTTGTACCCTGTGAGTTTTTTGTTGAACAGCATGGTAAGATGCCAGCCAGCAGTAAAGCTGTGAAGAGAGCCATTTATGGATATAAAATGTCTTTATAAACCCCCTAGAAGAATGAAATATAAAATTGATGTCCAGTTTAATATATTAGTAAATGTAAGTTTTTAAACTTTCTGTTAAGAAAAACTATTTCCTTATATATGTTTTTTTTCTTATTCTCATCAGTTCTCCATTTAATCATTTCAATTAAAGTGCTTTAGGAAGTTTTACAGAATCAATATTATATGCATTTGACTTAAACTGACTAGATTTATTTGGTTTCTACTTAATTCAACTTAGATTATGCTTTCTTTAACATCCCACAATATGTTATCTCGAGCCATCATTGCCATATATAAGTAATTTCAGTGTAATTGGTAAAGAGGAAAGGATTTTGTTAGTTTTTATTCCTCCAGTTATTAATTTAGATACTTGCTTACCACTAATGGCAAGAATAATGTGCAATTCCAAATTTCACGTGGGGAAGGAAGGGGCATGTGCCAGATTATGAATGCAAATGTTCTTCAGTGCTACAAAATCATGCTCCTCTTTTAGTACCATGAGTTTGTTATAAGAGTGAGAGTCAAATTCAACTATTTGATCAAAGTAGACCAAGAGATGACAATGTATCCTGTTTACTAGCTGCCTTTCTTATAGTCTGTCATTTCAAAATTAGGAACAGCTAGTGCAGATAGCCCTTGTGTAGCTTTGCATGAACATTCAACACAAACAAATATTTTTGGGAATTTCTTTCTTCAGTATTAGAAATTAGGGTATTTTGAGGATTTACTGAACTGTTTTTTTTAATGTAGTGATTTATTATTGTAAATTCTAAACCACTTAAAAGTCACTGGGTGTGTCTACTTTCTTGACAGTGTAGGTTATTATAACAGTTAGTTTCAAACTACTGATTGAAGCAGATTGGTAACTATAACTTTGTTGAATTTTCTGATTAATACCACTTTTTGAAAGTTTTTTTATAATTATTTTCTCTTTTCATGTGGCCATTTAATAAACACAAAGTAAAAGTCTTATGCAGTTGATTCTCAAGACATTTTCTGAAAAACAGTTAATACCGAACATTTTTGTTTTCTTATTATCAGTATTTTTGTTTCTGTGTGTAACCTTAATGAGCATGATTAGTGTAATTTTTCATGAACATTATTTATTTTATGTTTTTTAATCATTAATCTTCAAGGTAGTCCGAATAGTTTGTTACGTTTGGTTGGTTGTTTTGAATTTTGTGCAAAGCTACATGAGGGCTATCTGCACTAGCCATCCCTAAT